GGATCAGAATGGGTATGTGCGCACCTCGTGAGCCTGACATTAGTAGGTTGGCAGCAGGTGCAGCATTAACTGACTGCTATTCAATCTATAACAGTGAAAAAAGTTTTTGTTTTAAATCCAAAGCTATTGTGACACAAGATGTAATTGGTGGCACTGACTGGGGAAATGGCATTGTGTATGCACTGTGAGCCTGATTACAGAAGCTGGCAGCAGTGGCAGACAACTGACTGCTATTCAATCTATAACAGTGAAAAAAAAGTTTTTTTGTTTTAAATCTAAGCTTGGCCAGACACCAGATGTAATTGGTGGCACTGACTGGGGAAATGGGCACTGTGAGCCTGACACAGAAGCTGGCAGCAGTGGCAGACAACTAAGTGCATTTACATTACATAGAAAAATAAAATAAAAAAAAAACATACCCTTATCCCTAACCTAGCTATGCTTTTCCCTATCTTATGAACAGCAGCTACACTTTCCCTCCTCTTACTAAGCATGCAGCTTGAGAATGAATCTAAAATGGATGCTGTCCAGTAGGTGGAGGGTCTGCTAGGGAGGCTGTGCTGCTAATTGGCTGGAATGTGTCTGCTGACTGTGAGGTACAGGGTCAAAGTTTACTCAATGATGACGAATAGGGGGCGGGTCGAACCGCGCATATGTTCGCCCGCCGTGGCGAACGCGAACATGCTATGTTCGCCAGGAACCGTTCGCCGGCGAACCGTTCGGTACATCACTATATGTGAACAGCCCATGGTCAAGAAGTCCATATATACTGTGAAAAATGAGATAGGGAAAATATGTACTTGGTCCACACTTCAGTATCTCTCTCATGAGAGGCTACACTGCTCTTTGTTTACAGTTGAAATGAGTAATATCGGTTTTCATGGCGCTACCGATCTTGTTTCTCTGCTCTTTTAGCCCTCTTTAACTTTGACTGTTCCACTCCTGTTCATGTTTCCATGTTGTAGATGTCTTCTTCTCTTTCTAACTTTTGACTCAGGTATGGTGCACCTGGCTTCTTCCAGTATAAAAGAATAATTGACCCAGAGATGTTCAGTAGGTGCTTGTCTAATGATTCTTTTGTATGTAGAGATGGAGGTTCAGTTTGATGCAGGAGCAGGTAGAGTTTGGGAAGGTAAATCTGAATCAAAGATCTTTTTTATTGTGCTGTGAATTTGTTTCCAATATGGTTTTATCACAAGGCATGTACACCCAATGTGGAAACTAGTCCCGGTTCCTACCTGCATGCGTCAGACACCTCCAAATTTATCTAGTGTAAAATTTCAGACATCCTGTACCATTGCATCAGAATTTTATAGTTCAGTTCCTGTTTTTTGGAACATATGGAACTTTGGTGGGATAATATACAAATTGTCTCCCACGTTTGATCTGTCAGGGTTAACTCTGTTTCAGATTCCCATTTGTCTATGAATCTTGGGCATTCCCACCGAGCTCGTCAGCAACATTGATTACAGCACAGATATGTCTCTAGTCATGGATGTCCTAAAAATACAGCAGTGCCAAAATTGAGTTTGGTCTCTATAACAAAGTCTATCCTTTACACTTGCATAATAGGATTTTACTTGTAGGTAGCAATACTTCTCAAGTCCCTTTGGGTGTCTATCCATGATCAACTCCGCTATGGGTTTCATGCCTGTGGAAGAACACCATTGTTGTATATGCACCCAATTGGTAACCATAAAACTTTTCAGTTCAAAGGTTGTGGTCTTGTTAGAAATGTGTGGGTTGTATGTGATAAGGGTAAGTGGGCCTGGGATAGTGCGGAACAATCAAAAGTCAGGAAATAGAAGGCAAGAGTAGTCAAAGAAACCGTAATCAGTAAACAAATAATCACAGGACTATATAACACCTAAAAGGTCAAGGAGCACTAGAAACCAGGAAGTATTTTAACAAGGGGCAGATTCTATTGGTCCATGTCATACCAACGATGCCAGAACGAGTGTGACCCAACATACAATTTTGGCTCAGTGTCTCTCAGCATCATAAACATTACACAAGTACCTAGTTTTATTGCAAGCATCATTAGACAAGCGTGCCGTGTCAATATTGATGCAAGGGAGACACATGGCGTTGTTATAAGTGCAGGACACAAAGTCCTGTCTTTAGTACAGAAGCAAGATCTTGCATTAAAAAAGGTGATCGCGCGATGGTGAGTGTGTATGTTGAGAAAGTGCCTTAAGCTCTCCAGTAGCCATCTCATTCTTATATTAACCAAGTTTGCCCTCTGTGTGACTTTATGTGCATGAAGGGTTAAGTATGGACGTGTGTTTGTGCTTTTTGCTTCAAGTAATTTTATAAGAAACATTTTTTTCTATTCAATTATCAAAATGGAAACAGGTAAAGGTGGGTTATCACCTTAGGGTGAATGGTCAGAAGAGATTGATTCAGTAGTAGACTGAACTGACCATAGCAGGATGAGTGGGTTTACAAGTAACTAATTACTTAATTAGTGTTTTTACTGCATAAATCAAGATACTGATCTTTTGTCACAATGCTGTTTCTGGCACGTAAGCTGTGTTGTTTAACTGTATATAAGTTATGTGTTTTTCATATAGAGGATGGGCAGTCTTATTTTACTCTCTCCTTGTGCACAAGCAATAAAGGAATCTCTGCTTATTCAACTCTTGTGTGAAGAACCTGTGTTTTACGTTATTGAACATTTCACATGAGTATTACCAAAGGTGCGGGAATGACGCTACACATTAAATGTGATGCAGGAAAGAAGCATGGTGACACTGTAAAGATCCAGTAATACAGAGAGTGACAGACTCAGTAATTCAGAGAC